ATTTTTTGGTTGCAGCCATCATTGTTGTTTGGCGGGCCTGGGCTAGGGATTCGAACCCGCCACCTTAGGTGTATGTGGCTGGTGCCTTAGCCGCTTGAGCCACGGGCCCCGAGCCATTTCATATTTTTCTTAACCAATCTTTATGAATTTATTCTTTCATATGAACCTTAAGATCATAGTTGGGGGTAGTGCCTATGGCTGAAAGGAGTAGGGTGCTGGCCCCATATACCAGAGGTGGTGGGTTCAAACCCAGCCCTGGTCAAAAACTGCAAAAAAAAAAAAAGCAGTTAAATTCATACACACACCCCTATACCTAGAAAGAGATTTGGGGAGAATTGACGTTTTCAGGATATCATCTCACCATTCAGTCTTGTGTGTCTTTTTAGCATGTCAAGTTGCTGCTGTCTCCTCCCTCATGGCTGACTTTATCCCTTTCAATAAGATGTTAAATTTTTGTACATACATTGGTGCCTTGAGTATGTCTGTATAGAATTTAAGGTGATTTTTATTATGATTATAAGTGAAGTGCTTCATTTCTAGGTGCTTATCACTACCTATTCCACTTTTTTTAAGTCTTTTGAGTTTTCTAGGTATAAAATAATTATTAACGGAGTTACAGTCTTACTATACAGTATTTCTTTCTTTCCTAGGTTTTATTGAATAACAATATTGCCCTAAGTCAGTGGTGGCTCAACCTTCCTAATGCTGTGAACCTTTAATACAGTCCAAAGTGGTCATGACCCACAGATTGAGAACCACTGCCCTAAGTCTTTTTTCTTTTTATTTTACAAAAAATATTTGCCATACCATTAATTTCAACTTCCTCCTGGGCTTTGGTTTGGTTTGTAAATTATTTGCAGCTGAATTTCTATTTTTACACACATTGGAGAGACTTTTAATTGGAATTTCTGGTAACCATAAACATTATACATTTATTTAAGTCCTTCCATTTTACTTTTATATTCATTATTATTTTACTTGAGTTTTTTATTTTCTTATCTTTGCTAAATGGGATCAAATTGCCAATCTGTTTTTTTTTAATGACTCTTTGCCCCCTCGTAAACTTAGAAATGTTTATTAATATTTAATAGGGCTTACTTTCATATTCTTAATGGTTGTCAGTATACAAAAAGTGAAAAAGGAAAGTATTTCACATACCATATAATCATTGTATTTTTGGTACATAGTTTTAATCAATTTCTGTGTTTTTTTGGAATACTATGCATTTTTGCTTCTGTTATTAAATTTTCCTTTATATTTGCCTCTAAGGGCTGGGCGTGGTGGCTCATGCCTGTAATCCCAGCACTCTGGGAGGCCAAGGTGCAGATGATTTGAGCTGAGGAGTTTGAGAGCAGCCTGAGCAAGGGTGAGACTTTATCTCTAAAAAATAGCCAGGCATCGTGGCAAGCACCTATAGTCCCAGCTATTTGGGAGGCTGAGGCAAGAGAAGCAGTTGAGCCCCAGAGTTTGAGCTATGATGTCATGGCACTCAACCCCAGACAACTGAGTGAGGCTCTGTCTACAAAAGAGAAAATAAAATAATAATAAATAAAATTTCTCTAATCATGACGTGTTAACAGTTCTATTCTTTGATTCCTTATGTGTTCTAATTTTCATTTGGTAGAAAATAACTTTAAGAATATTTTTTAGAAAGGGCACATGTATAGAGTTATGGATGAGAAATGCAATTCCATTTAATTTTCTTTCTTTCTTGGAAATTTGCCCTTTTCCTGTAAGCTTACAAAGAGATTCTTTTTATCTTTGGATTTCAGAAATTTTACCAAGATGTATAGATGTGTATCTTGTCATTAACCTTTCCTAGCACTCTATAAATCCTTTGAATGTGAAAAGTCAAATCTTGGCTCAGCGCCTATAGCTCAACCGGCTAGGGCGCCAGCCACATACACCTAAGGTGGCGGGTTCGAATCCCCAGCCCGGCCCCGCCAAACAACAATGACGGCTGCAACCAAAAAATAGCCGGGCGTTGTGGCGGGCACCTGTGGTCCCAGCTACTTGGGAGGCTGAGGCAAGAGATTCGCTTGAGCCCAGGAGTTGGAGGTTGCTGTGAGCTGTGATGCCACGGCACTCTACCCAGGGGGATAGCTTGAGGCTCTGTCTCAAAAAAAAAAAAAAAGAAAAGTCAAATCTTTGACGCTCAGGGGAATTTTGTTTCTATTTTAATTCTTTCATCTAATTTAATTTTCATCTTTTTCTTCTTTTTCTAGCACTCTTATATTGCATGGATTAGATTTTCTGCTTTTGCCTTCCAAGATTTTTACCTATTCACTTATGACTTTTTGTCTATTTTTGGCATTCTAAGTAGAATTTTTTTATTTTCAAGTAAAGTATTTAGTTTTTAGTAATGTTATTTTTTACTCTTTGCCACTTTGCATATTCTCATTTGGAATGAGATTTTCATATCTCAATTTCTTTACCTTCTCTGCTTACCTCCTTTAAGTGTTAGGTGTGTGTGTGTGATGATTGGTATTATCGGTTTTAGAAGTCCTCTTTCTTTCTTTACATCAGTGTCTGTTGTTCTGGTGGTTATTTGTTGTTACCTTGGTTAAGCTCGTAAATCCCTTAACCAGTTGGGATTTTTCTTTGCTCGCATCTTCTTCCTGTCACAGTACTGGCTTCTCGGGCAGTTACTGACAAGCTATGAGACGGTAATTTTTTCCCCTTTGTGTCCTTGGCCAAATGAACTGGTTGAACAAGTCCTTTCCTCGTGGGTGGGGAGGAGTATGTCTTAGGTTGTCAGTCTCACAGACATCAAGTCAGCCTCAAGTAGGCTAGTTCTCTGACGGACAGCTGCTGGAGAAGGGCCTTTCCCAGAACCAAGTGTGGCAGTTGGACAGGTGGTTTCTCTCTCTTGGCTGTTCACTCAGGCCCCTTGCCTGGCAGTGGATTCTGTGCTTAGTCACCCAGCAGCCCCCTCCCACTTCCCAGTCTTCCCACATCTGTAGGCAGTGGTTGGGGAACGGGGGCTGTTTGTTAACTCAGCTAATGACAGGGTCTTTTCTGGACTCTAGTTGCAGGCTACACTTTCTCCTGGATGCCAGGCAGCTGGCATCTTTCTAGAAAGCACTTCTAAATACAGAGCATCTATAAAATAGCAACATGTATTTGAAACCTGACAAGCTAAGCTGGGACAGTAGGAACGATCAATTGCTTAGAGTCCTCTCAATCTTCATACAGTGACTGCTTGGTTTTTCCTTTTTCTGAATGCATGCATTGTGTTTTTTAACACTGTATTATATGTATATGTTTATGTATGTGTTATTTTTTTAATCCCAATCTCTGTTTATTATGGTGATGAATAATTTTAGTAAAGCTTAAAATGAACTTTTATTTTTATATAGAGAATGAAGACCTGTCTAATCAGACAAAGCCTACACAGAGTCAAAGTAAGTATCAAATTTGATCAAGAGTAGCTATTATCTGGGCCTTTATTCACTAAGAACATTGTAAGTTGAATGTATTAGGAATCTTTTATGTTTTAGGAAAAGTACCTGGTTAAAAGTGTAATTGATGCTTGTTAAAGGTGGCTTGATTATGGTACATTTTATATACATAATATAAATCCATATCAACTGAATTTAAAATTAATCTTAGGACTTTGTATCCAATTTGCAATATAATGTAAGTGTGATGTGACAGTCTCTCCACACTCACTTTACAGTCTATGATGTTGGAAGCCTCATTTATTTTTTGATATAAACATATAGGATGATAAAAACCATTTTGACAAATGCTGTATCAGATTCTACTTTTAGTTAATTATTTCAGTAAATATTATTAAATGTAAGTTGGTATAAAAAAAATTGATCATCAGAGCAGCTAATGGAACTGAGTGATGAGATGAGATGTGGCCTGTGTGGGGCCTCCGGGTGGTAGCAGCACCACAGCTTTTATCCTTCCACTGGGGGAGGCTGTGTGGACAGGAAGGAGTTGCTTTCTGGTGTGAGGCAAAGGCTGGCATCAGTTCTTGTGTAACAGAGCAGTGCGTGGTGAGAGTCAGTGAGAGAATTCCACTCCCTGGGACTGGTGCCTAACAGGTGTTTCTGAGCTGCTGATTTTTTTTTTTTGTGAGACAGAGCCTCAAGCTGTCCCCCTGGGTAGAGTGCCATGGCATTACA